CATAACAGGATGTGGGAAAGCCTTGGTCCACAATAGGTATCACACAATCGTCATATTCATTGTCCAACAAATGCCATATAGGTAGACATATTACATTCCTTCTTATCACCACACTGATAAGTTATTGCAACTAGTAAGTTACCCTCGGTGCAACTGAAATGTATTGGAAAGATGAAATAAAAACCATCAAGTAAAATGCTTTCAAATGCAGCCGGTACCCTTGCTCTTCCTGCTCACATCGCTGCCAGTCACCGTCGCTCAGACATCGAGACACAAAGACTGTATTTTAGTTCTGTGTACCTGTGAGTCCCTGTGTGTGGTGTGGGGATATGCATGCGTGGCTGTGGTGCCTGTGGAGGCCAGAAGAGGCCATCAGATGCCCGGGAGCTGGAGCTACAGGTTGCCATGGGCTGTTTGACTGTCGTAGTGGGAAACACGCTCGGGTCTTCTCCATGAGTAGTAAATGCCCTTACTTGAAAGGTAACTGCCATCCCAACCTCTGATCCTGATCTGACAGGAATTTGACTATCTCAGATTCTTCATGTAAGCCATTCAGTGTTTGTCTTTTCGTGCCTGGTTCTGTTTGCTTCTTTTCGTTTCCTTAACATGTCCTTTAGATCCATCTGTGTGTGACTTGCTGAATTCTTTCTTTTGGTTAAATAGCATTCGTCAGATATTGCATTTTAGCAATATTTGGATTTTTGTTGATTCCTTTTAATGGCAGTTAATGAGTTAAAGCACATCATAGCGCTACTTTCTTATTCTCTCTAGAGTCAAGTCTCACCACTTTAAGTGATATACACATACCATAGCACTAGATAAAGCCTTGCCCTAGTTCCTACGGGTTGCAATCAAATGTCTGTGCCCACACTGAAAAATCTTTTCAGAAATATCATAATTGGTTTTTCACATGTATGTTTACAGGTTCCTATTAGTGTGGTACACACGTGTATGCAAGCATATGTGCATGCATGTTCCTGTGTGTGTATGCTTGTTTATATGTGCATATATGTATGTGAAGGTTCAGAATTCTTATTGGGAGTCTTCCTTGATAATCTCTATATTTTTTAAAATTGTCTGAGCCCCCCCTCTCCCTTTCTGAACCTGTTGCCTGATGACCCAAGCCAACCTGGCTACCAGCTCGTTTGGGCTCCTCTGTTTCCAGAGTGATACGATTACAGGTGCCACCTGTGCCCCCATCTTTATATGGGTGCTGGATATTCGAACCCTGGCAGTCTTTGTTGGGGTCACTATTACTGTGACAAAACAATGTGACCAAAAAGCAAGCTGAGAGGAAAGGATTTATTGGGCTTCACTTTCCACATTGTCGTCCATTACAGAAGGGAGGCAGGACAGGAACTCAAACAGAACAGGAACCTGGAGGCAGGAGCTCATGCAGAGGCCGTGGGGGGTGCAGTCTGCTTTTCTGATAGACCTCAGGACCACCAGCCCACGAGTGGGTACCACCCACAATGGGCTACGCCCTCCTCGATCAATCTCTAAATCAAGAAAATAGCCTACAGCTGGATCTTGTGGAAGCATTTTCTACCTGAGGTTCCTTCCCTTCAGATAGCTCCAGCTTGTGTCATAAAACTATCTGGAGCACATCTGCCGTGCACAACACACATCGTCTGCTGAGATAGTCCAGTGCCTTCCTGTTTGCCTGCACTCGGCCTACTGGCCTTACTATCCTGTGCTTTGCAGTTTCAAGTATTTTGTTGTGGTTTTGTCCGAAAACTGGGAAGAAGGCCACAAACTTCGGCCAATCTGAGGCTGTAATGTAATTCTGTTTGGGACCACCCCTTCCGTACTCATCTCCCAAAGGCTCATATTTATTTATTTATCTATCTATCTATCTATCTATCTATCTATCTATCTATCTATCTATTTAGTTTTTGAGACAGGATCTCACTCTGCAGCCTTGGCTCTCCCAGAACACACTATGTAAACCAGGCTGATCTCGTACTCCCCCAGATCCACCTGTCTCTGCCTCCGGGATCAAAGTCATGCAGCACGTACAGCCACAGTGGCCTGCCTTGAGGCCTCAAGTGTGACCGTCTTGAGGCTCAGCTCTCATTGTATATAGTACCGCATTTAGCGGCAGAGTCGGCTTGCTGATGAGCCCTGGAGTTACAAACAATCTTGTAACTTTACTGTCCCATGTTTCTATCTGCAATATCTAGACCATTTGGGGGTATCATGGGCCCCCTCTCTGCCCATAGTCAGGATTGGGGTTTATTAACCTCATTCTCCTATACACACCTCACATTGTAAAAAAGACACAGATAAAAAGATATCACTAGGCGTTCAGCACACTCTGTTGGGAGCCCCGCTCCTTAGACCTTACAGGATAGTTCTCAGTCCTTGGAAAAAAGAGACTTCTGAATATCTCTAGTGACACTCTCTCATTGAGGCCCTTGTTTCAGACCCTGCCTGGTCTGAGTTCTGGGCACACAGAAGACTTGGACCGACTCACAATCTAGATCGGTAGATACCAAAAATAGGGGAATTTTGATAAGCTTTAGATTCTTAAGTTTTCTTACCCATTTGTTTTTATTTACTTTTCAGAGTCCCGGAATTGATTTTTTTTTCACTCTTCAAAATGTAATTTTATTTGTACTTGTGTAAATGGGACAAGGAGGAAGCCCGTGCACACGTGTGTATGACAGGCATGCAGGGAGTTCAGAGGATAGCTTTTGAGAAGTTCCTGCTTTTGTGTGGGCTCCAGAGACTAAAGTTAGGTCTTCTGGAGGCACCGACAATGTCACCTACTGAATGAGCTCAGCAGCCCTCAAAGTGAGTTTCCTATGCTTGTCTCCAGGTTTTATGGCTGCAATCAGAAAGAAAGTGCCTCAGTTAGGGTTTCTTTTGTTGTGATAAATCACCCTGACTTGAAACAAATTGGGGAAAAAAGGGGTTTATTCCAACTTACAGTTCTCAGGTCCATTGTCCGGGGACTACAAGCCAGGGACCTGGAGCAGGTACTGAAGCCGTGTAATGGGGGAGTACTGCTTACTGGCTTCCTACTCACGGCTTATTCCACAACTTCCTTGGAGCATCCAGGGCCACCAGCCCAAGGGTGGTGTGGCTCCCAGTGAGCTGGGCTCGCTCACATGGATCATCAATCAAGAAATTGCACCACAGACTTTCCCATAGGTCAGTCCTCTCGGTTGAGGTTCCCTCTTCCAACATGGTCTAGCTTGTAACAAACAGACACAAAGCAAGCAGCCAGGATTGTATGTGTTGATTTCATTTTATTTCAAGTATCAACCTGGGAATGCTATGAACGTTATTGAGAACTGTCTGGGAGACCACACAGGGTCCATAAGGATAGGTTGGCAGTGTGTCCTGGAGGGATGGCACCCGTAATTAAATAGAAAAGCTTTTTTTATAGTGACACAAAGCATTATGATCATTGTATTTGTTCAATACATATAAAACAAGAGGCAGACCGCATGGTACCATCAGAAAACAGTGCTTTGCTCTCGCTCCTCTAAGTCTGGTTTGTTCAGCCACAGTCTCTGGCACATAGTTCTGATTATTCTCTTTGCTTTGGTTAATATGCATGAGGTAAATGATAGCTTTCTGTCTTAAATGTAAATCTGTCATCTTCATCGGACCTAGCTATGGGAAACCAGACAATCTATAAACATGGACGAGGTGTTTCTGTTTTCACGCATCTACAGGTCTGAGACAGTGAAGCCGGAATCCTTGGGAGCACAGTTATCTTGGAACAAGATAAACCTGGCTGCACTGGCCAGAAGAGGTTTCTGAGTCCAAGATCTCAGAGAGAGGCTGGCAGGAAAGCCAGGGAACCCGGCGGTAGTGGTCCAGCAAGTGTGGGTTCCTCCCCACTGCGATCCTTCCCACAAGAAGCTTCCTTCCGGCATAATTTATACCCTCTGGCTCTTCTTTAGCACTGAGATAGATCTCCAGCATGGATGCTGCTTAGCACCAAAGCCGCGGTGGCTCTGACAATGTGGTGCCTCTGGGAAGCAGGAGCGGAGGAGCATTTCACACTGGCACCGAGTGGCCAGATGGCAGGAGCTGAGCCACTCTGCATTTGGACCTCAATGTGGTCCCCAGTGGATGTGAATCCTGACGTGTGAGTCGGTCTGTTCATGAGGTGCTGTCCTGTACTGCCCACGGGCTGAGCCACTCTGTTCTGACAGGAACGGTGGCGCCCAACAGTCACACACATCCGCACCAAACAGGAACCCTATTTTAGCTGCAGGCCAGCTTATGAGAATCAAGCTCACCTTGCTAACCAAACAATGGCCTGGTGTTTAAGGTGCATCATCTTGTTACCAAGGAAGATTTAAACTAAGACGGCTCAGTCTGCGTGCATGCAGAGGGCTAAGCAAGCAAAGAACACACACGAAGGTGTGGTACCCACTCTGTTCTTGCTGCTTACCGACTGGTGCATACACTTCTGCCCGAGACTCACACCTGCCACTCAGCCCCTCAATCCCAAGAGGAATGGCCTCCATCCTACAGGGTACTGTGTTACTGAACTGGGACACGGGAGAAGCTCACTAAATGCATTTGCGAGTCACGATATTTTCTGACAACAGTGACTTTCATGCACGTTATCCAGCCGCAAGCCTAGAAACACATACCTGGCCCATGCCTTCTAAGGACCCAGGAGATCCTGTCTCTTCTGTGCTCTGTTAGCATCACCGTTTATGCTATCCTTCTGTAGTTTAGAGTCCATGAAAAGACATATAGCAAAGACTTCCTTACAGAAAATGTTTAGATAGAGTTTTAATCACTCATCTCATAAAATAAAATCATATTTATCTGACTGAACACACACACACACACACACACTTATAGGATGCATTCATACACAGTGCAAAACGGGGATGCAGACAGAATGGACAGTCCACACAGAGGCCTGCAGTCAGTCAGTCTCTCTCTCTCTCTCTCTCTCTCTCTCTCTCTCTCTCTCTCTCTGTCTGTCTGTCTCTCTCTCTTTCAGGAGCTCAGACAGAGTGGACAGCCCATGTCCACAGAAGCCTGTGTCCTCTTTCTCTCTCCCCCTGCCTCTCTTTTCCAGGAACTCGGAGCCTAAACCACAGCTACTCTTCACTCCTGCTTCACTCCACTGCCTGCCAAGCTTTCCTGGTGCTGAGAGGAGGAACCCTCAATTGTCTACCAGCCTGATTCATGCATCAGGTTCTACCCATCAGCACCTCTTCTGGATGCTGGAGAGAAGGAGGTTTTGGGTTCCGTGGCTGTTCACTGAGCCGGATGCTCCTCCCGATGATGTCTCTCTGGTTGGGTCCTTTTCAGGGGAGAAGCCCCCAGGGATAATGCTGAGGCGATTGCACATAAACCTGCGGGAGCGCTTCACTGGCATGTGGTAGCATATCTGGGTCCAGAACCTGGAACTGGGCTGGACTGATTTCAAGCCTCTCCACGTGACTGTGGGGAGAACCCGAAGAGCTTTTTTGACAAGATACGGGAGAGATTCTGGCACTTGGAAGGAACAGAACTTAATTAAAATGAGTTTCAGGGTCTGATCAACCAAGGCAAGGTTCACGGCTGCTTGCAGTTCAAAGACACAAGGTCCATTGACATAGCTGGGACTCAGGATAAATATTCCTCTTCGGCTTTTCTTAATGATGCTCACAATGTCATCCGCATACACTGCAAACAAGTAAATTAATGACTTTCAATGGATACTATTAAAACTTGAGTCACAACAACTTTGAACCTCCAAGAGATGCCTGACAGGTTTCTTCTAATTTGGAAATTCTTGGGCAAAGAGATTAGGAGAAGAGTTTCCTCTGCCCCTTCCATTATCTCCACCCTGGACTGTTAAAGATACACACCAGTACCCAGAGACTGTCCCCATATTCTGCCTCCCTAAATCACCAGCTAAGCCACCTAAATCACATTGGAGTAGCACTGTGGCGTATGGTATATCCCAGGCTACTTGTGGATGTATCTGAGCAGGAAAGGGTAGCAGGCCATCTGAGGCTTCATGGGTGGCATTCAGCTGACTTGCCTGCTGCACTGTATGCTGAAAATTTGAAGAGTAGAATTCTAGAAGCTAGGATGGCCATCTGTTTGAGAAAGATTATTTACCACAAAGTACATAGGAAAAGCCCCTTTGTCCTGGGGGTGGGGAGGGAGTCTTTCCAGAGCCTTCTGTTATTTATTATTCTCCTGAAAATAGATGGTTGTGGAAGACAGGGCATGTCTCTGGAACACACTTTTTTGTATTCCTGCCCAAGATGATCTAAGCTAATAAAAAATAAATAAATAAATAAATAAATAGAGAAAGGAAGGAAAGAAAGAAGGAAGGAAGGAAGGAAGGAAGGAAGGAAGGAAGGAAGGAAGGAGATCCCAGTGGCTGCATTTCACACAGGGGGGCATAGAAAAGGTTTTGAGCTACAGTGGTTACTCTTGGTGTTCTAGTCAGTTTCTTGGCAGGCAAGACCTACCTCCTCCAGGGGTCACATCCCTTTCAAGCAAGCACAGGGTGTATCCGTATTTGTTTTCTAGTACTTCAGGGAAAAGATTCAGGGCCAAGTGCTCCTCACTCGGTGAGCCGATGGCTTCCCTCTCAGGAGAGCTCCAGTTTGCATAGGATATGAAGGCATCAAACTCCTTCTTGTCTGAGGAAAAAGAACAATGCATTGCCAACATCCCTTTTCTTAACTATCGTGGTATGTGCAGATGCTCAGAGCATATGCTGAATGCATGAGAAATAAGATTTGGGATCCTTACAAAAACAAATCATAAAACAAAAGCAACAGATGAATCCATTTTAAACTCACACCACCGAGTGCTTTTGATTGTCCATACAAAACTCAATGATTAACTTATGCAGCGCCCCTGTGTCTTTGCTGGGGCTAGATCAAACAGCTGGGGCCTCCCATGATTGCACTGAGTGTGATCGGGAGGCCGTCTTTCTTTGCATCTGCAGTGTTTCTGGCTCATTAGTTACACATCAAAGAGGAGTCTGCTCCATTAAAGCATGGTAATAACCAGAAAGCAGACCAGAACCTCGTATCCAACCAAGAGATGACGGTGCACTTAAAGCCATGCGCTAGCAAGTGACAGCTCAGTCCACAGTGGGCACATGCCCAGTGGAGGTCCCGTAAGGTGATAACGCACAGTTAATCCCTATATCCCAGTGATGCTGGTGCCATCGCAACACTGCGGTGCATCACACTCCTCTCAAGCACAGGCATGCTGGTGTGGTCCACAATATGTTGAACACACAGAAGCATAGCCATCCAACCACGCCCAGTATATCATGCTGGACAACATGTACTTGTGTGACTGGCCTCAACAACTACTGTGTTAAACTTGCCATCGCTGTAGAATACATGCCCACTGTGAAACAGTGTTTGCTCTAAAACAGCAGCCCCGTGTCGCTGGTATTTATCAAGCCTCTTGATTGGACAATTTTTCTCTTTGGCTTAATTGAATGTTGGCTGCTTTGCTCATCATCAACCTGGGAATATTAGGGATAGATCTATATACAACTGCATAAATAGTACATGTGTGTGGGGACATAGACTCATATACACACTCTCCAGAGAGCCCGCAGTCTGGATGTGGCAGGCTATACTATCTAGATTTATCCAAATACAGTATATTTTGTTCCCACAAACCAAAGGCACCTAAAGGATCCATTTGGCATTAAGTGCCACGTGACAACACTTGATCTGAATTTGTGAGTGTCAGGTGAGGTCAGGAGAGGCTCCCCGGCGGGCTGTCAAAGGTTGCATGAGGTAACGCGTGTGCTCTATTGGAGTCTCTGCTCTCTTACCCCGCCCTCCCCTTATATTTGAGATGCTACACTTAGAGAGATTGTTTAAGGTCCCTTGTGAAGGTGTCTTGTGCTTCTGGCAGGCAGACAAGTTATGAGACTTGTTAAGAACTGCCTAGAAAAGACAGAAGACCCCACAAGTTAACTTACAGGCTCTGGGAGAGAGTGCCTGGAGTTTATATTCCAGCCCGGTTCTTAAACAGGTAACTCATGTCCAGGCTGTGTGGGCAGTGCACTTGCCCAGTGTGGATCCAGTGAGAGGCCTTAGGGATTGTCAACCACTAGAAAAACCAAACACCAAGAGAGAGGCACGGGGCCAAAGTTCCAGAAGCTGCTTTGAGAGGTACTTCATTGCCCATATATAGGAAGAAGACGGAGACTTTGGAGTACGAGCTGCTGTAAGTGCTAATGTATTTAAGTGTGTAACACACCATGGACAGCCTCTGTTCCACTCATAGTCTTGTAAAAACAAAACAAAACAAAACAAACAAACAGGGTTTTACTATAACGCAAAGGATAAAGTTATTTAGTAGTGAAATTATGGAATGTGGTGCTTGTGGTGACAGAGAGCCTGCCTATGTCCTCCTAACACTATTTTTTTTCTAAATTAACTTTAGATGGTCACAATACTCTTGGGAGTTCATTTTACAGACAAACACCATGCTGACCAGCAGAGGGCGCTAAATCACTGTGCCTGAAAATCCAATTCTGCAGCGCAAATCATTGCATTAAGTGGGTGGTCCTCGGACTTCCCACAGGTCAGGGAACCCTGATTGCTCTTTGGGCTGATGAGGAGGGGGACTTGATCGGGGGAGGGGGAGGGAGATGGGAGGCGGTGGTGGGGAAGAGACAGAAATCTTTAATAAATAAATTTAAAAAAAAAAAGAAAAAAAAAGTAAAATGGCAAAGGACAAAAAATTGAATAAGTCCCAGTCGATTGACCCTTCCTCATAAACTCTAGACTCTTAAGGTTAAAAAAAAATGAACAAACATTGCAGTGAAAGAAGTGTGCCTTCACCTAGGGAAGATTGGTTAGATGTTTGCTCCATTCCAATAAGGAGGCTAAATAAACAAACAAAAATTCTGAAAACATTCTTTGCGTAAGAATTTCAAAGAATATCATCAGTATTTAATCTAAAGAGAACTGTGACATATACACTTTTCCTCCTATTTTCTTAGTTTGATTCTAGGTGATTCTGTTTTGTGTTGCCAGGGGTTGAACTTGGCACCCTTTTTTTTTTTTTTTTTTAACTTCTTTTTCTGGGGGATGTTACATCCTCTAGTAGAAGCCCCTGGCCTCTGGAGGAGCCTGCCAATGAGAGAGTTGTCTGTCTGACACCCAGCAGGAAGTATTTCTGCTCCAGGCAGCAGAATCATTCACTGAAACTGTAAACACGCCGACTCAAGGTTTCCTGGGACCAGCAGAAATCAGAGCAGTATTCTGGTCCCGCGTGACACTGGAGAGTATTGTGATCATGGCTTGTGCACAAATGGGCAGAAGCTTCCTCAGTAATAATGGGACTTGTATTTTGTGCAACTTCCCAATTATTTGGGACAAATACCTGGCCTGGAATGTCTTCTTTCCACATGATGATAACCCAGGTAATGAATGGGATTTCCTAAAGCCATACTACACAGATCTAAGACTAACTGAGATACAGCTGTTTCTGGTGTTCTGATCTGAAGCTCACACTTCATCCTTCGCTGCCGAAGGGGGCCGTGAGAAGGACAGTGGTTAGCTCACAGTCAAGGCTTGAGCTCCAGTCCTCAAGGGATACCCGACGCCGACCACACTGAGTTTTCATACACCACGGTGTCATGGCTGATCTCAGTGAGCTCACACACTATCCTCTGCCTGCTGCTGTATCAGTCCCGTTTTATGGATGAGAAACCTAAGACACAGAGGGGTCACTTGCTGTACTGCCTCAGATCGGTTAGCAGCGAGAATACCTTCAAGTCCCATGAATCCCACAAATGCTTTCTATAAGGTTCCTGGTAAGAGGAGTGAACTAGAACTGTTTCTTCCTGGAAGAAGATCTCAAACCTGAGTAATAAGAAGCCCCATGCATCAGCCATTAGCTTCCTTTGACTTTCTCTCTGACAGGCTGCTCTGGTCAGCAGGAGGCTGAAACCAGACAAAGCCAAGAAAAGAAAGCCGGTAGGTAGGAAGTAACAATGTGTCTTGTCTTGACACTGAGTCAGAGAATGGCATTTTGGGTGATCTTACCCTTCAGAGTCTCGTCCTTGCTCCTGTAGGCTCGGCACAGCAGGACGATCTCAATCCAGTACCAGTAGAGAAAGGCAGCCGAGACCAGAATGCCCACCAGCGCCATGGCTGTGCCGAGGAGGATGTATACAAACACCACTGAGGGAAAGAGAACAGTGAAAGGGCCCATCTGGACCAGCATGCCCCATCCTGCAGGGCATCCCTGCCGCTACCTGCATTTGTCTCGAATCCGGGATCATCTTAAGTCTAGATGGGACTGTCCACAATTAAGTTTAGAGAGCCAAGGGGTGTGGGAAGTTCCCGGTTGAGTGACCTTCAATACTCAGCCATTTTACTTATGTTTACACCTATGAACATCTGCAGAGCTAATTTGGACTGCTCCCTTTGCCTGTCATAGACTACCATCTTATATTATCATCCTCACTGCCATCTAAACATTCCTAGCATGGGGGTGGCATCAGCCTCACTCAGCACCCTCTGTGATTCCTTCTATAAACAGGTCATCTACAGAGAACAGCCACTGTTACCAGACACTCACTGAGGGCCAAGCCTGAACATTGTTACTCGATGGCTCAAAGACATGTACATGACCTTGATCATGCTAAATCATCCACTCACTGAGTGAATGAACTGAGGCCAATCTCATCTCGGGACATCTTGTTAAAGATCAACCGGCTCCTCGGTGGCCATTTCGACCAGCTGTTTTCTTGTTCTCTGGAAGCCAGCAAAGGCAACCAACAAAGAGAGTGAAGTCTGAACACTGGCCCTGCCGCAGTGGGTGTGGTAGGGTGGGGCTAGAGATTCTGGTGGGTACCAGTGGGGTGAATCAGTAAATTGAGTGTATAAGCGAGTGAATGAATGAAGAGGGTAAATGAATGGGTGATGGAATGAATGAACTATGTGAGCAGCAAGAGAGTTGAAGAAACGGTGTCTTCAGGCACAGATCAGTAGGTCAAAATCAGTTGTATGGCCATGGTCAAGGCCTTCAGTGAATTAGCATCGCTTCAGTGTCCGGAAAGTGATGGCGGCAAACGCCGCCTCTTCTCTTTGGGAAACTATCCCCCCCCCCTCACTCTTTCGAAAAGAACAGCTCTCAATCTGTAGGAACAAAGTTCTAGGCTTACCCCCCTTCTTCTCCCTCAGCTGGATGGTCCGTGTTGTGTTCCCGACGGAGTTCTGGGCAAAGCAAACAAACTTGCTGCTAAGATCTCTTTGAGTGACTGTCGTCAGAACGGCGGTGTATTCAATGACTGTGCTCTTGAAATTGGATTCAGGGCTAGGAAAAGAGGAGAAAACAAGGCATCCTTGCTCAGCAACCTCAATTGCAAATCCCAGGTGAGCTGGGAAGACTGATAAAGCTTCTGGGAATTTATCAGAAGACAAGGAAGAGCACGAGGAGATGGAGGAGGCTCTCGCACTTGAGCAAGTGACAGACACTGCTAAGGACTTACGCTAAGGTCTAAGTCACTTGTGGCCCTCGTCTGAACTTTATTCTAAGAACTTCCCCTGGGAACATACAATACCAAGAATTTAAGAATAATTGCAGTCTGTGAAGTGTTTGCTTCCAAAGCATGAGTTCAATCCCCAGAACCCACGTTTAAAAAAAAAATACATGTAACATGCATTTGTAAACCCAGCATCAGGAAATACAGAAATGAGTGGATTTTGTAGCTCCCCAGCCAGCCAGGCTAGCTTAGTCAGCAAAAGACTCTGCCCCAACCCCATCCCACCCCCCCCAAAAAAAACAATGTTAGTAGCATTTGAGGAATGAAGCATGAGATTTACCTCTAGTCTCCCTATGCAGGTACACATATGTGTACACACACATACACACATGTGCAATTGCACACACAACTAATTCCTCTTGCAGTTTGCTATCAGGTACTTTACTGAGCACTGACACCAGATTCTTTAATTCATTCCTTGGTGTGGGAAGTTCTTCTGTATATGTGTTGCTTTTATTGAATAGATAAATTAATGAATAAAGAAGCTTTTGGCCAGTGGTTTAGCAGAATAGAGCTAGGCGAGGAAAACTAAACTGAATGGAAGGATGCGAGCTGTCAGTTGGAACCTTGCCAGTAGGCCACAGGTCTCGTGGTAAAATATAAAATAATAGAAATGGGTTAAGATCTAAGAGCTAGCCAATAAGAAGCTAGAGCTAATAGGTCAAGCAGTGATTTAATTAATACAGTTTCCGTGTAGTTATTTGGGGGCTGAGCAGCTGGGAACCAACAAGTGGCCTCATACAACACTTCCTCACTGCACACAAAGCCTGAGGAGTTACGCTGTGAACATCCTAACTTGGTAGTGTCAGGGACAAGGCTCAGAGGATGGATGGGCAGTACTGGCTCACAGTGGTGACACCATCCTGGGGAAAGTCTGGACTCCAGCCTGGCTCCCAGATCTCTGCCAATCTGCCCTGCTGAGAAAAAATGTGATCCTCCACATTTATTTGGCTCCTATTGCCTACAGCTATGGTATCCATTTGTCACATTAAGGAACTGTGTCCAAATAGGTATTTTAGGTTATCCTTCTGTGAGTCTACAGTTAGTCCATGGATGTATCCTGCCTGTCACACGGTGTGACACACATGTGGCTTCTACTGCATCTGTCCCTTACAGTGACCTTGCAAGGTGAAGGTTTTCAGTCACAGAATATAAACAGGGGACCAGGGTCCCCTTGCCACGCCCTGGAAAGCAGATAGAGATCTGCAGGCAGGTGACTTGAGGATGTGTCCTTGCCTCACGTGTGTTGCTCAGACTCTCACACAGTGTCAATTTAGGACCCAATGACTTCCTCAATGTTAGGGCTTCTTGCTAAATTTCAGTTTCATTAGCAAAATCTTTCCTTTACCCTTTTTTCTGTGGTTGTCAAAGCACACATTTGTTCAGTGAGCCGTTATAAAGAACTAGAGGGAACGTTCTGTAGATGCTTATTTTGGGTCCCACGTGGAAATGGGAGGACACATCTCCTAGTGACATACCTAACTGGTCACGACTGAACCCCAGCTCTTTCGCCTAGGAGTATAGACTTGTTTTACTGGACATTGGATGGCTTGTCTCTGAAGGTCTACAACTTCCCTTGTAACTGCCTCACTTCTCTCTCTCCCACAAAACTCCAGGGTTTATGTTAGTCACAGACAACAATAAACAAAGTCTAATCATCGTAAAGAGTTGCAGCCTGCCGCATTCCAAGACAGATGTCTCCCTTTTAAGGCTCCACCCCAGTGGAAGCTGCATCTCCAATTCTCCTTGGTCAGATTCCGTGTTACAGTGCAGTTTCCTTAAGGCGCTGGATGAAGGCACAGTTGATGACTGGGTGGGGGCAGAAACCACCCTCTCCCATGTGTTGAACGAGATACTTCTAGACGAGTATTCTGAGTGAGTGTATCCACCTACTGGCTTATCTTGGCTTTTAAGGCAGTGACCTTTTCAAACACCTTTATGAGCTGAGGATGTGAGCTAGTGATGGCATGCTTTCTCAGCACACTGGGTATCATGGCACCAAAAGAGAAAGAGAGGAAGGAAGGAAGGAAGGAAGGAAGGAAGGAAGGAAGGAAGGAAGGAAGGAAGGAAAAGGGAAGGGAAGGGAAGGGAAGGGAAGGAAAGGAAAGGAAAGGAAAGGAAAGGAAAGGAAAGGAAAGGAAAGGAAAGGAAAGGAAAAAAAGGGAAAAAAAAAAGGAAAGGAAGCTTTGACTGTGGTTCAGTGTGTAGAGTGCTGATCTAGCATCTAGGATGTATTAGATGCATTAGATCCCCAGCCTCACATATAGAGGGCGTGGTGGTGCATGTCTGTAATTCAAGTCTCTCCTCATCAATATAGAGACTTTGAGACCAACTTGAAATACACAAGACCCTGTCCCAAAAAATTAAAAAAATAAGTTAAGTTAAATACACTCGAACATGGTCTAAAGGTCTTTTAAACCCTTGTGAAAGCATCATGGTGTACTTAACACAGGCAAGATGTGCCCAACATAACTAAGTCATGCGGTCTTAGGGGGCCATTATTGTACATGGTTCCATCATTGACTAAGTTCCGTGCATACCTGGTTCACTTTATGGTCTCATCAGAAATGGAGTGCCTGTAAGTTTTAAATTAATACAAAAGATAAGAAATAAGAGATAATAGATGATAAATAGATGATAGATGGATAGATAGATAGATAGATAATAAATGGATAGATATATAAACAGACAGACAGATAGCATCTATGGCCTTTTCTTTTTACTGTTTTCTGAGGTTTTCTGTCCTGCCTGATTCCCACAATTGTTAAGTCCCAAAGAAATCACACAGAGGTCTACATTAGTTATAAACTGGCTGGTCCATTAGCTCAGGCTTCTTATTAACTCTTATAACTTATATTAGCCCATTATTCTTGTCTATGTTAGCCACATGGCTTGGTACCTTATTCAGCAGGGCAATCACATCTTAACCACATGGCTGGGACAGGACTGCTGAATAGGTCCTCTTCCCAGAATTCTCCTGTTCTCATTGCCCCACCTCAACTTCCTGTCTGGTTGGCCTACCTATACTTCCTGCCTGGCTACTGGCCAATCAGCATTTATTTAAAACATAATTGACAGAATACCGACCACTGACCCACTCCGTTTTACCACTACCATTAACTATCTGTTATAGCAATTTCTAGCGAGTTGAAAGCATCTAGTTTGGGTTCCGATGACTATAGTTCACTAGCGTTTTCTCACCGTTTTTTCTTAGATCCTAGAATTTCCTGCTCCTGAGTAGATTCTTTGGCATACCACTTCATTACAAGCTGACCGTCTTTTTGGAAGCCAAATTGTGCTCTGCAGGATAGAGTCAACGACTTTCCTGAAAATGCAGAGGTCGAGAGAACAGGAAGACAGCATATCAGAACACTCATATGACGGAACGACCAGAAGCTGCATCCGGACGCAGCCAGGTGCCAGGCAGTGGGAACCAGGAATAGCCAAGCATCAACACATTCCACTTAGCAACATACTTCCTGTTCTGGTTGTCCCTTGCGGCTAATCTGTGTATCCCAAATGTCCTTCACACGAGAATTTCACAATCATACCTCTGGAAGAAGTAGGAGCTCTGGGAACAACTCAGCCTTTAATATTAGTGATGAGAGGTACGATCCATCAAAAAGATCGGTTTAACTAATTGACGTTTATACATGGAATAAACATGAGGTTACCATGAATGGAAAATCCTGAAGAAAAAAAAAAAACACCTGCACACATCTTATGCAAAACCCTCTGCAAGGACAGTTAGTAATTAGGACCTCAGTGATCACAGAAAGGCTGGGATACTCCAGGCCCGCAGCCTCATCACGATGTGTCTTGGGCCTTTTCCCCTCCTTAGCAGTCATTCATTGCCCGCCTCCTCAGCTGACTTAATGTCCTTATGGTTATTAGGATGTATTCAATTTCTTTAGAATGTCTTAGTTTAACAGGCCACTGGCTTACATCAACCACAATGCTAAACCTGTTCTGTGAAGGCCCCCGAACCTGTAGCTCAGGCCTCTCCCTGGGCTGTGACCTGGCATCAGATCTCTCCCCCAGTGGATTGGAAGAGCGTCTTCGTTTATTATCTCTTGCCGTGAAACTGTTTCCACGTTGGAACATGGACTTGGGGTAACCCAAATCTGTGCTCCAGGGTCACAGCCACTCATACCCTCTTGCCACATTAGAATTGAGGGCTGCGCTTTTCTGTCAACATTACGGTAGCCTGTAGTGCAGGGAGGAGATTATAGATTCTCAGCTGCTCTGCATACTGCACAATGGGTGAGCCGTGCATGCTCCTGGACCACTCTCCCTTTGCCCACCACTCCTGTGAGAATCATCCTCCCCTTCCAGCCCTGTTCTGGATAAACAGGGAATCCATTTGAACTCCTCTTTGGACCTTAGTCTTTTCCCAGCTTCAGTGCCTTAAAAACACAATTAGGCTGTATATTTTTAATGAATTATTTTTCTTCTTTCCATTCCCATGTCCCCCCCCCCTTTGTCACTATTTCTAGCCCCAGAATGTGTCACTACCGCCACCTACCGACCTTCTACTGTAATAACAATCTGTTTTACCTTTGCACAAAATGAAATCTTTCATTAGCATTTGAAATGGTAAATATGGCTCTGAAATACCACGATTTGCTTTCAAATTTGCCTTCTCTCCTTGGCTGCGTGGAAAGGAGTAAGAGGTTGAATTTGACAAAGTAAAAGGCAATCAGATGAAAGTCAATTTCTCCTCTACCCTAAAGAAGGCACCATTTTGGAATACGTTTGAGCAAGAGATGCAGGGGTATAATTTTCTTGAGGAGTAGCCCAAGCAGCATATTCATAAGGGCTAGTGCTACCTTTGCTGTAAATTTACATGCATAACTCAAATGGAAACATATGCACATATATGCATATATGCATGCTGCTTCGTGGGAAGAATATAAAACCTGTTCGTCTTGTTTAGTCCACCAGGCACTTATAATATATCTCATCCCTCTCCCTCAGTGGAAGATCAGCCCGCGACAGTGAGGGGCAGATCTAATAATGTCTGGGGCTCAGAAGGCTTACGAATATGCTGTGCATATTGACAAAACTAGTTGGGACCGCGTCAAGGTTCACAGGCACAACTCTTACTTGCAAGTCTAGTCACCCTTTCTGTCACACTTTGACCTAGTGCCTGAAGCACGGGGTCACCCGGCATGGTAATATTAGGCAACTTACCAAGCTCCGCTTCCAGGGTGTCCGTGATGGGATCCAGAATGTCTGGTTTCAGGTTGCTGTCCTTAACTGCAAGATGAGAACAAAGATCGCCCTTTGCATTAGGAAGTCTGAGGTTTGCTTGCTGAAGACTTAGGAGTGTTAACGCCACACCAGTTTAAGTTTCTAGTACTCTGTTTATTCGTTCATTTTACGCAGAATGCATACAGCTGGGAACTGAGATTGTCACTTAGGAAGTTGTCTCTTCGGGGCTGGAGGGATAGCTCCGGCAGTGCAGTGCTTGCCACCCAAGCCCAAGGACCTGAGTTTGATCCATGGAGCCCACAAAAGAAACCAAAAATTGGGCATGGTACACATGTTTGTAGTTCTAAGCTGGGGAGGGAGAGCTAAATGGATAGCTGGGGCTCACTGTTTGCCAACCTGGCTCACATAACAAATCACAGAAACTGTCCATAAACACCGACGGATTATACCTGAGACATAAAACCCAAGTGTGTGCTCTGGCCTACACACACACTTACATACTTATATTTGCACACACACACACACACACACACACACACACAGCTCCCCGCACTCACATTTGAGATGTAAGCCTGTGTCAATTACAAGATTTCTTCTTCTTGCCATCTGGCTGAGTCACCAGCCAAGAGGGACAACCTGCCCAAGGAACTAAGATTCAAAACTAGCCACCCACAACCATAAACTCATGGCTTAGCTTAGCATAACGGGGTGGGCAGCCTCTGATTTTACTCGGCCCTTTTCTTTCCTACCACAGAGTTTCAGAGATGCCCTCCTTGTTCTGCTTTCTTCTGAGGGCATCCTGTCTCCGGTGAAGGTGGCGGCCTGGACCGACAGCATCACGACTCTCACTTCTCATCGGCTTCTCATCAACCCCATCTCTCTTGTGCCATCGACACCCACACTCCTCACCGCATCCTCCCGCTGATGGCCTTGGCCTCCAAAGGCAGTTCGCTAGCACACCATCAACTCCTCCCTTCTCCTGACAGCGGTGTGCATTCTGTGAAGTTCTTGCTCCTCCACTCTCTTTTCACGTGTTGGAGATACCCAAGGGCTCAGTCCCAGGCCCCCTCTTCACATTCGGTCATTCTTACACTCCTGACCCTAGCCCTGGCATCTCCATCATTGAGCTAAACAACCCTCTTCATTACAGCACTGTGAGTCAGGCCCTTCCATATTAGCACTTACCGTCTCCCTTAGACTCCCTTCTTCTCCTTGGCCTTCCTGGTTATTAAGCGCTGCTAGCATTTACTGACTTACCTCCTCAGAAAACTACAATGGCTACTCTCTCTTTTTCCTGTTTGTTTGTAAAAAAAAAAAAAAAAACCCTGTTCTGCTGATGCAGGAACTCCACTCCCTCCACCCCCTGAGGTATCTTTCAATACTGTCTATCAAGTTCACTGACCCCCTACCCATCTCCCTTTTGCCCTGTATCAGCAGAAGATGACTCAACCCTGACTCTCATTGTTCACTTTTCCTGTTCCCCAGCTGTGAATTCTCATAGAAGCATCCCCAATATATGTCTAGATTCCCATCCCTTTCAGGTCATGCCCTTTGTTACATCCCTACTGGTGACTGCCTGAATTAATGATGTCTTCTCTGCCTCCATACTTCTCAAAAATTATTACTTCTTCATGTTAGATCTAGCTGGACACAGCCTGTTCATGGTGCTTCCATGCATTGCAGTACTGAGTGGGCCCCCATTGTCTTTTGGCTAAAACTCCAAACTTGTCAGAAGTGGTTAACACATGCCTATGATGCCAGTACTAATCAGGCAAAAGATCACAGGTTTGAGGCCAGCTTGGGCTACATGTAAATGATAGGCTAACCTGGTATACGTAGGGAGACCTTGTCTCGAGAAAAAAAAAAGCAAATAAACAGAAATCTCCACACATAGTGAAGAATGAAATAAAAACTTGAAACTAGCTTAAAGTATGAAGTGGGTCCGGCTCTCAGGGTCCCACCCTCACCTCCAACCCATCCCCACCCCCACCCCTACCTGATCCCAATCCCCACTCCATCCCCACCCCCATCTCATCCCCACCCCCAACCCTTCCCCACCCCCCAACCCATCCCCACCCCCCAACCCATCCCCACCCCCAACCCACCCCACTTCTGTTCTCTGATGTGTTCTCCCTTATCTTTATTCTATTTTCTCATGATTCCTGGGTGACAATGGCTCTACGGCCTCTTCCAGAATGGACAGCATCACCCCCTCTTCTCTTCCTAGTGGAGTGAATACCATTGTTTATTCTTCTCTTCCCAGGGATCTTACTTGGATTTGCTGCACCAAGGTTGGACCTGGTGGACCTTAGGCATGCCCACTGCTCCTTCTCCTTCTCCACTGGGTGATGCCCTCCTGCTTTCTGTCTCTCTGACCCATAAAAGAGTCTGTTCTTAGGGGTCAGAGAACGTGTCCGGGCACTAATCCTTAATCGAAAGTTAACACAAAAGCTTGCTGTCTATTCTGTGGGAATGTGGGACTCATTCAACGAGAAGGACAAGGCACAGTGACAGGCAAGACAGGAATGACTGATGTAGATGCAATGACCTTCAAGTAGGAGAAGGAAGTAAATTCCATCACTGAGAATTTAGGGATTGCGGATGACTGAGTGGAAGAACATTTACACATCACTTGTTGGAGAAAGTGATGCTGGCATGGTCTTTACACGGAACTTCTCCTCTCTTACACAATAAAGCCACGGGAAGAGCAAGGACCGGGAAATAAACAGAAGTGTTTCCATCTTAGTGCACTCCAACTGGACCATGTCTTGTGGTAAGAAAACTGGATGTAAACTTCATTAATATTTTCACTGAGAATTGAGTCAGCTACCCTGTTGCTCTTTGGCACAAGCTCGAATGACAGATTCTGTTATGCTTTGACCTTGGAAACCACAACTGAATTATTTACAACTACCATTTACTTATGCTGTTGTTTGTAGATGTGGTATGACCCAAGGGAAGAGCTGGGAAAGAGCCGATCTAAAAGGGTAACAACTACAGGATGAGACATTTAACTTCCTTGTTAGTCAGAGAAGAATAAATTAGGAGAAAAAACAAACAAACATCGGTCAAAACATCCCATACCCCCTCCAATATTATTTAGAAATATTGAAAATATTCTTGGCAAGTGTCACCTTAGTCTGTGTTTAAGATGCAAAAGACAGAATTGTATTTTATCAATGGATGCATACATGTGTGGGAAAAGCACAAAGCCTAAATGCAAAACATCTGGATCAGTGTTTCTCAAACTGTGGGTGGCAACCCCTTTAGGGTCAAAAGACCCTTTCACAGGGGTCGCTTAAGACCATCGGAAAACACTAATATTCACATTATGATCTGTAACAGTTGTGAAATTATACTTATGAAGCATCAATGATTTTATGGTTGGGGGTCACGACAACATGAGGAACTGTATTAAAGGGTCACAGCATTGGGATGGTTGAGAACCACTGATCTTGTCTATAGTCTGTGGGTTTCTCATTGAAAGAGGATGGGGCCCAGACTAAGCTGCAGCATCAGGGGTCCTTCTCTTTTATAAAACAAGATTTCAAACACGTGGAAATACATTAACACTCTTTAAACAGGCGCATGCATGTCTCTTCATGTTTCAAGTATGAAATAACTAATGCATCCTTACATTATGAAATATCTAATGCATATTTAAATTTATTGCAAGAAGACATCTGCGAGAAAGGGATAGCCCAACTTTTGAGAGTATGAACATGACCCACACTGAACCTCTTTGTGGGATGGGACCTCAGTTGATGGGAGAGCTGGTGTTTTTTCAACTCAGAGCCCTTTAAGGGTTTCCAGGGGCTGAACAAAGGGAACTAGTTATTTTTCTTCTCTAAATGGAAATAATTATTTAACCAAAGGAAGATGATTTTCACTGGTCAGCAAGAGTTCAGAAACAAAAAAAAAAAATCTCACTTACCAATGGTTTTTACATGAACGACAGCTCGGACTGTCCAGGAGCTCACATTATCCGACTGAGTATAATCACACACATACAAGCCCTGGTTGTCTGTATAAACTTCTTCCAACTTAAGGATGCTGTTCTTATGCCTAGGCAGGGGTATTCCATCCTAATCCAAAAGATAAGAATTAATCGCCTTTTTGAAACCTCAGAGTTTCTATTAACATTCATTCCACACTTAAGAAAAGCTTCGCCAATTTGAAGCAGGTAAAAGTCGGTCAGTTTGAAACATGGGTGTTCCAGCGGATGAGGATGCTCTAAGCTGTGCTGTATCTGAGGTCACGGAAGAAGAATTTCCTGACGCCGCAAAGAAGAAAGCTGACTCCAATCAGCTCACAGAGAGCTACTGACTTCGGGTTTTCTTAGAGCATAACTTGGCAGCCCAAGAGTGTTCTAGAATATCCAGTGTTCTAGGGAATGATGCCTAACTTAATTTTCACTAAATTATATGCACATGCGCTTGGGAATGGCAATGCGTGTGTGTGCACACATGTGAGTGCATGTACTCTGAGAAACTTGTAGGTTGTTGATAAAAGCAATATATAAATTATTCTCATACAGTAAATTTAATTTTAATATAAGAGCCAAGCATGGTGGCACACGCCTTTAATCCCAGCCCTCAGGAGGCAGAAGCAGGTGGATCTCTGAGCTTAAGGCCAGCCCTGTCTAGTCTACAGAACGAGTTCCAGGGCAGCCAAGATTACACAGAAAACCCCTATCTCAAAGAGCAAAAACAAAGATTTATTCTGAATATAAGAATAAATCATAAGTAAAACACACTAAGTTGATAAACTGGACTTACATAAGAATTACAGAGAGCGAATACAGAGAATGCTAAGTATCATTATTTGACTCTAAACTCAAGCAAGAACCTGTCTCTTAGAATCCTTCAGTGACTGCCTGTGCCCTTCAGATGATGTCTCTAGTCCTCAAAGACTGGCCTGGTCTGGTTCTCTGCTAGGGCCCCTTTATAACCCCATCTTACCCCGAGGGTCATGCTCTATTGGATCCCTGCCTTTGCAAGTCAGAGCACAGGCTGCGGCTCCCGCCACAGCTCCACCAGAGCTCAGCTTTGGGGAACATCATCACTTGCTCCCAGGAGAATTGCCACTTCACACATCCCGGACCTTGTAGGCAAACAGCCGCTACAGCCACTGCCTTTTTCCAAAGTATGCTATGCGGCATATCCTCTTCTATAGCTGTTGAGTGCAGTCATGGTTTACAGGTGGCTAACAAATCCTGACTGAGGTACATTGAAAGAAATAAACACAGGCCTCTTCTCTCAGCAGACTCTGAGTCTCCAGTCCCCGAGTATCCGGCCTATCTGTCACATCACATAGAGTGCTCAGAGGACACTTGTTAGCAAATCTCCACCCATATGAAACAGGGCTGCTTCCTCGAGTCTTTGCAGAGCTATGGAGCATACAGAGGGACCATGTACATGCAACAGCTACTTTAGGAGGAGGTGAAGTGTAAAGTGAAATACGGGCGTGGGGCTTGAGACCAAGGTGGACTCTGAACGTGTTTGCTTTTTATTGCTCTAGCGAACAGCTTCGTTAACGCTGTGTGAATTTAGGAACGCACCATGCAAGAAAGGTTCCAAACAGGAGAATCGTGTACTAGGACATTTTGAGAAAGGTGCCTAGCAGCTGTTTGTGAAGCTCAGGGAGTCTGAAGGACAGACTGTTGCCTGTCACCAGGGGTTCTGGCACAGTAGGGCTCAGTCACTATCTGCAGAAGGATGGGTCATCACCACCCTGACTCCAGCAGCCTAACTCATATATGATATTTCTGTAGTATATGACCTTCTAGCTTCCCATGAGTCCCCAAAGCAGATTTCTGACAGTTAAAATAAAAAGAAAAGAGGTAGCAGAAATGATGAGATGGTTGAGAATCTGTTCTCTACATAGACTGCAAAATTCTCTCCTACGTGATCATCTATGCTTATCAGCAGATCGCAAACCTTCCAGACACCACTGTCTCACACATCGGGCCATCTGCAGTGACCTCCAATATTTTTTTTTCTTTCAGCTCTTCCAAAGGGCCAAACATCTCTGCTGCCTCCCGGGTGAAGGGCACAACACCTCCCCTCAGGAACCATTAGGAATGGACCCCTCACTTTGTCTTTGCAGACTGACAGCTCGTTCTTCAGAAGCTTGAGTATTGACTGCGGGGTCACCCCCTTAGTAAAGTGCTCACTTAAAGAACAGTTTATCTCTCTTGAACCATCTCTTCTCTTCTTCCCCACGTGGACGATCACTGGTCCAAAGGAGTCTCTGACTTGGGATTTGATTGGATTTTATTCTTTCATTTTACAAATGAGGAAAGAAATACTTCCAAGTTTAAAGGAAAGCCAGCACGAGAATGCCTAGTTAAAGAGAGAACTGAATATCAAACATAATTTTTCTAAGAGTTCCGTTTACTGATCTAGGAATTTCCCTTCCATTGGCCTTCACACAGGTAGAAGCAGGAATTCCCCCCACCCTCCCCCACACACCTCCAAATGTCTGGGCCAGTTCCTGGGGCCCAACAAAAAACTTCCCCTACGGTGTCACAGAGTCTGAGTGGGCCACACTGATTATTGAGAGTAACTACAAGACAGGATGGAGAGCCAGGGCAAGAGGCAGAGACAGCTCAAATTATTTATCAGGTGATGGCAAAGATCAAGAACGCTCCAGCCAGAAGTGAAGCTAAGAAGGAGGAGGAAAGTCCAGAGTTAAACTCTAGAAAACCCAGTAAGATCATACAAAGAACAGAATGTAGAGTATGGGCATGAAGTAAATCTGCTGAGAAACTGGTGGAGCGAGGACAGAGAGATCCATCACTAAGACCTCAGTCAACCCACGGAGGACCGTGGATGGTAGCCGAGTAGACCTCTTCCTCATTTTATAGATGGCGATCATGGCTTGGTGTGTGTCATCAAAGTCTTTGTGAGACAGAACTCACAAGAGATGTTAAAGAAATTAGGGTGAAAAAAACGTATGCAGAGAGATAGGGAACACACCAGATTATTCGATTGCAAGCAAGCCTGGCAGGAAAGAAGCAGAGGGTATAGTGTGATGCTCAGAGGTGAAACATTAAAAAACAAAAACACAGAGGAGGAGCAGCCACAGTGTGATCTGTGGGAAGAGTCAGAGTCCCAGAAAGAACAAGCGGAAAACCTGAAGGTACTAACACAGATGTTTAGGGGGCATGTAAGGGGGAACAAAGTCATTCTTAGTAAGAAGGCAGTAGCTGTGGTCTTTTAATATACTATCCTGAGGTTTCACTAGCAGGCAGCTCAGCACTAGGGAGCATTCCAAAACTGTAGGATTCTCTACAAGTGATGCTCCCTAAAGCCAGGCAACACTAGAGTTCTTATCTGGGCTTCCTCCACCTGGACCTACGACTTTAGTCTATTTTCCTTGATGAACCTCAAATGGTTCCTCATCATTAACTCATAATCATGTCTGGATTTGAGCACATCATATCTTCACTGCCTATGAGTGAATCATTTTTTACTTTCTACAAGTTGATAAATATCACGAATATATTTAAAGCCAGGAAAATCTAAACTATTATGACTGTCTCTTTAACTAGTCCATATCAAAGCATTTGATTATTCCCCTTCTTCTGTGAAAATATCCCCACCTTCTTTCGATTCCCATTGCTAGTTCTGTGGTTCAGAAGACACACAAGGAAAGTTCAAGCATGTCAACAGGTCCCCAGTCCCCTTGCTTCATGAGCAACCCACAGTTTTAATTTCCAATCCAGTAGAGTTCAGACCAGGCAAGAACTCTGCTTCTCTCACACTGAGCAATTCACTAATCCTTCGCTGAATGGACTTCTTATTGCTCTGTTTGTTACAATGATAATATTTCTCAGTGAATACCATCATAGAATCCCTTGCTCCAATCATGTGACAATGCTAAACTTATTCCTCAATCCTGTAGTAATATTTCTTCTACTATACACTAGGAAATTAATAAACCAGAAAGTTGTAATGATGGGTCCGATGTCAGCACCTAGGCAAAGCATTGAGTAAGTTATTAAACAGATGTTCTGTGAGCATATGGGAAGGAGGTAATGGTTAATATCAGCCAGCTTGTGTTCACTAACTACCACCTCATGAAAGTCATCTCATTTTCCTGAGTAATTGAAGACTTAGATTAGAGACGCTCAAGGGACGGCAGTAGACAAATTCTATCTTCACTCCAGAGTATAATTGGGAAAACACTTTCATGATCTCCCTGTTAAACAAAAAGATCCTTAAGAGCCAGATGATAAGACACGTGGGTGCCTTTTCAGAAAATTGAACAGTCATAACCCCAAGCGATGACAATGCGTAGCCAGAAGGATGGCTCCTGAAACCACAGCAGAGAACTCTATCGTGCAGGCTTGCTCAGGGGGTCTTAAGAATCACACCCCACCCCACCCCCACACATACACATCTACATACACTTTATTTGACCTTGCAGGTTTTGCTTATATATTACATTTTTGGCTTCTGTGTTTTTAAGGGATTTCTGTGTGTGCCGGTGCATGTGTGTCTGCATCTGTATGTGTTTCTAGTAGTTTTTCTTAGGCTCTCTCTTTTTTTTTCTGTTTGTTGTTTCATCTTATTCTGTTTTGCTTGTTTTGGTTTTATAGTTGCCAGGTTGTTTTCTAATGAAAGAGAGAAAGAAAAGGGTGTTTATGTGGGTGGATGGTGAGGTGGGAAGGACCTGGGAGGAGTCGGGCGAGAGGAAATCACAATCAGCAAATATTGTGCATGAAAAATGATTTTTAATAAAAATTAAAATTATAAAAAATAATTAACATGCCCATGTTTATGTTATCTATGGGCTTCAAAACTGTAAAAGTGATAACTAGTACACTTGGGTTATAAAATTATAAAATCAAAATTCCAATTTCTTAGCACACAGAATGATGAGCAAAAACCCATGTTTTAGACTCTAACAGGAGTGCACGTGAAGTTAGGCGCGTGAATTAGAAACTCTAATCCTAGGCACACAATTGAGAATGCCCCTCAAATTGCCTGGTGGTAGTTCTTAGGAAGAAGGCTGACATGCCATTATAGCTTGATTGACCCACCCAGTAGGGTTATTGCAAAGCTGAAGGAACTGCAGGCAGCATCCATATTCTGTTCAGGAGAAGGAATGGGGCCCTCCTTGCTCAGCAGCCTTGCTGTGCAATCCATGTGCAGCCTCAATTGCACAGCATGTGGCTAGCTGTATTCAAAGCTGCCTGGGAAGGTGGGGGGATATTTACAGTGAAAACAACAGAACAGAACCGGCCAATAGATTGGCCTTAAGAACAGCTTCCAAAACTACAATCTAAATCATCATTTATCTTCACTATTAGAAGCGCTTCAGCCTGTGGGCCTGGCCAGTCTCAGCCTGCTCATCAACTTCCCATGGTAGGCAACTCATACAGTGCCTACATTCCAGTACCTACAAGAGCTAACCCAAATGGAAACAAGAAGGGTAAGTGGCAAACACATGTGCAGAGTTTCCATGGAACACGGGGCTGAGACTCAACCCCACACCATGTACACCAGCCCTACAGCAAACCACCCCGGCCCTGGTGAGGGTGATGTAAGACACCAATAGGGATTTTATTCATGCTCGGGTCCCCTTAACAGAAGGTCACACAGAACCACAGTGATCCTGGTGTTCAAGGCCATTTCTAAAGGAACTCTCTGACTGTCCTTCATTATGATTTTTCATTGTGTTCGAAAGTTACTAAGATCATCAAAACATACTAACTTAATCAATTCAAATGCCTTTCTCTTAAGGAATCAGATTTATTAAGGATATTTTCTATTCCCTGTATTTCCAGAAATCAAAAATAACAGGTGCTTTATCTTAATTCTGGATTTTCAATCATCAAATAATTAAGAACGTGCCAAGTACAGAGTGCTCAGCCAGGCCCCAGGGCTCTCCTAACACCTGCTCCAAGCAGGGAAGCGAAGCACTGGAGAGAGCAGAAGCCCTGCCTAGCACGGTCAACGCTCATCACACCAACCCTCGCTGTTTTAGCTAAGAAGTCACTGCACTGCGTAGTAGGAAGGAGAATGGCTCCATGGGCTCCTATGTCTGGATGCTTGACCCCCAGTTGCTGGAACTGTTTGGGAACCATTAGGCGGTGGGACCTTGTTGGAGGAGGTGTGTCACAGATAGGGCTCTGTTGGGTGAGCATCCGTGTGTGAGCAAGCACTAACAGCACAGTGAAAACGTGGAACGCGTTTGCTGTGTGTGCTTACTGGTTTCCTCCGTGCCGTCATAAACTACCACTTGTGCACTTTCTCTTAGCACTCCCTCACTCCCACAAACTTTGCACGAGCCACTTGTTGCACGAGCAGTGACTTGCTGGGCTTTCCTCGCCACGTTCCCCTTTAGAAACTACTCAGCTCCTCGGCTTCTTTTAAAACGTCTTCAAGACTTGATGGTAGGGAGCTCCCTTCCTCATCCTCACCAATGCCCATTACTCTTTATGACACATAAATGAATGACCAGACCAGAATTCCCAGATGCCTTTTATACCCTCCCACAAGTATGACGCCACCCACATGCTGGACTTGTCCCCTGCCATTGATCCAAAGGGTGACGCTATCGATCTGAATAGCAAACTGTACTCTTCGTAGGCTCAAAACACATTAGAATGTAGGTCTTTCACATACGCACAGACCAGTTTTTATGGAGCTCTGGGCCTCAAGCTGTCTAACTCGTGTTTCTGTAAAGAGCCTCATATAGAGACAAGTGCCACAAAACAGTGCTCTTACACCAGCTTTAGAAAATCCATTCATACCAGGTACCAGGTCATCTCTGGACTCTGGACATCACTTTGGCAGCTGAGACTGGGGCAGTAAATGGATCCAGTGCTACCAAGAAATAGGTAATGCACATGCTCAGCTGGGTTCCCACAGGATACATTTCTCTGAGGCTTAAGTTCTAAGAAGATCTTGACACAACAAGCCGTATCCTGGGGGCGCCTAGGAGATAGAGAAGGTCCTGTCAGTACTTGTTTAGGTAAAAGAGAATTGAGGGTATTTCTAGACTGGAATGCCTTTGAGACATACCTAAGTCTGGGTCTACAGATAAAAGAGCCAACATTGTTTATCTGTGGGGCCGATAGCCACAGCATGTCTCTCCTCTCGTGAGAAAAGTTTCTATGGATCTCCTCTAAAGGACCTCCACGCTGAGGCTGTTTGTACCACTGGACATCAGATAGGTTCTGATTACCACTGCAAGGTACGTAGGCGGGGCCTTGGGTTGGTGGCAGTTGGTTTATATGGGAGAACTGTGACTTCCGAAGCTCTGGCAAATCACAAAATAGGACAAACTCCTCTGCATCCTTCACGGGATATATCCACCGAAGTCTTTTGGTGACGCAAGCTAAAAATGACAGTAAACAAAACAACACAAAGAAACAGGTTAGAAGGCAAACTTCCCATTGATATTTACAAAGAGACTCAGTGTAACAAAGGACTAAGCTCTCTGTTCTAGCTTATGTACCACACCAATTTCATAGATGAAAATGGCTCGTGTTCTGATTCGCTCCCAACAGGCTAGTGTCTTAAGTACCTGTGGGTGACTGGAGGAACAATCATGCCCTCGTCCTCAGATGTCCCCCACTGAATGCCCCGTTGTGGTCACTGGGATCCCCCAGCTGTATGTGGCATCTGCTGAAAGCAGTCCTGACCAGAAATGTCTCCTCCTACTCCCTTTAACAGCGAGAAGATGTTGCGTACTCATAGTTCAGGCTGCTGATGTAACAGATTATCTGGGACTTTAGACTGTGACCACAAGACTCACAGGGTTAACAGGCAAAGCAAAATCCCCTACCTGAATGATCAAATCCCGTGGTCTGCTCTCCTGCAACAAAGCAAAGAAACAGCCAGCCCAGAGAGAGCATGATGTTCCTCTGTTCCTCTCATGGCTTCAGCGACTTCTCATTGCCAGCGTGGAGGGTGTGGAGACTCAGGGCTCTTTCTCGGGCATCCTCTTCACTTAGGAAATGGGAAATGGAGAAATCAAAATCTGTGACCAAGCCTCAAGTCACACGGGAAACCCTGAAAGGGCACATCCCACCCAAACAGCCTTGGGAAGCCCAGAACCTGCGTGGGTATTTTCAGGGGCATGAAACAGCTTCCTCATGTGTCACCTCGAGCTCACTCAAAGGATGAACACATCGCATGCATGGTCCCCTGAGGGCCTCACATGCGGGGTCCCCTGAGGACCTCACATGCAGGGTCTCCTGAGGACCTCACATTCAGGGTCCCCTGAGGACCTCACATGCAGGGAGGGTCCCCTGAGGGTCTCATATGCAGGGTCCCCTGAGGAACTCACATGGGCCCTAGAGTATCATCTAATACTATTTCTTTTTATGGAATTCTTCTCCTTTTTCCCCTTATATTGTTTCCATCTACAATGTATATTTCATTCAGTAATTTGGAAAAATAATGTTTTATTTTTCTTGAAAGATAGCCTAATTTATAAGCAAATGACAGGTTCTAGAGTTAGGAAAACTGGTGATTGGGCTCATTTCTGTAAAATCTGAGAGTATCTACATGGTACTAAACACTTTTTTAAAAAAACAATTAGATAAATAAGGGTAGAAACTTGTGCCTTGAAGATTGATGTATTGACCTTTTCAGATATAAAAGCAGAGAACATGTGTTCTTAAAGTTGAAAGTCAGACGTGGGCTGGGTACATAAGGTTTGTCTTCTCTGTAGAGAGGGTGACCATGAAAAACTTCAAATAACTTATAAGCAATGAGAACTATGGGGAGTATAAATTTGTTGCCTGTTTAATATTGAGCGGAATATGGAATGTTTAGTTATAGGGTGAAATTTTCTATTCTGACATTAGAAATGAACAAAATTTGAATGATAAACTATATTCAAGTGTCAAAAACTGCTGAGGAATTGGGATTATCTCTTTGGTGTGGGCACTAAGAGATGGGCAACCAGAGGTAGAGGGAAAAAGTCTCAAAATGAAAAGAAAGTAGCAACCTCAGGGATAAAATGATAGACGAGAACCTTCCATATGTGCCATGGTGAATGAGAAAAGTCAGGATAACAAATGTCAGCCCTTCCAATTCAAGCAGAAGAGCAGGTTGGAGCATCACAGGGAAGCACAGAGAGGATGGCAGGCCAGCTGGAGAGTGCAGAAATAGAAGGACAAATGAAAGGAGGGGTCCTATCCACCAGCATTAGTAGCTGCAGTTCCCCAGCAGGGAGGGAAGGTGACATCAGCCTCATTCCAAAGCTAGGCTGAAGACAGTTCTTCCAAAGACTCCAGTTTACTTGGGACTGTTGGTGAGACGGTGACCACTCCTGAGGAGGTTAGCTATAGAAAGGAGGTCAATGGCTTTATCCCACTAAGTACTGGAAAGCTGTAGCTGGATAGACAGACAGACAGACAGACAGACAGACAGATAGATAGATAAGATAGTAAGTTCTTAAAAGAGAATTTACTGTTAAAGGCTGAGTTACCCAAAGACCATGATCACAAGGAACAATCACAAGTCAGAAAGCCTGGAATCAACTTCCCACCTTCTCGGGATGGAAGATGCCTCTGCAAGGCAGGTGTAGAGAAAATGGGGATGCATACGGACTTGCAGAGAAGTGTAAGGGGTAGGAGGCTGGCCTCGGGCAGCAAAAAGGATGGGTAAAAGGGATCTCACTTTCTGTTCCTGGGAGCTGACCTTACCTCCTCAATGTCAGCTGTGTAGCCTGATAGTACCACGCTTGAAGTCAGGGATTGGAGTCAGTTATCTGCTAGGAGGTTCATTGTGGGCAGCTCTCTGAGATTCCAGAAAGGAAAATGACTTCCAAATTCTCATCTCTTCCGCTAGGCATGAAATGCTGAGTGACTTTGGAAAGCACAGAGTCAGCTCTCATGTGCAGAGTTCGATGTTTGTTCATTTCTCTTACTTTCAATGCACTTGGGGGTGTGCAGGAAACCGCAAAGGGACTGTAGATTATGTCATCCCAGACTCCTGCTACCCCAAACAGACAAAGTCCCAAAGGGAAGGCAACTCTGGTGGGTGCTGGACACTTGAATAGTTCAAATTCAGCACTTGCTTAAATGGCAGGAAACATAGGAGCCCCCGCATCTATCAGAGCCTCCGTTTTCTTCCCGATAGACTTTAATTTTAGGAGTTGCCAGACATGATCCAGTTTTTCTTTTTATTAAACTTATCATAGTATTTTAATTCTATATCTTAAAGAGTTTTAATGCTTTTATTTCTACCTCCTTATAATTACCTAAAACTATTCATACACTATTCCTTTACTGGGTGTTCAGTTTCATTTTTATCCATTTGCACATTCCTCTCCCTTTTCATAAAGTTCTCAGATCCTTTTCTTTAATTTCTCAAAACTTCTTTTCCACTCTTTACTGATGTCTTACCTGACTTCTTTCATTAGCTGTTTTTATTTTCATATAAAATAATGGTTAGCTTCATGCTGTATTCTATGTGAACAACATGTCATTTTGTGTTTTATGGTAATTACTGGTGTAGTAATGTGTTTGCATTGATTTTATGTGTATGTCTGCATTTGGCTTTGCCTTGAGGTTTGTTTGCTCCTCTCTGAACAGTCCTGGGGAGGCTTCCCCTCAGAGACTCTCAAAATAAGAAGAGAGATCTATACCAAACACGAGCAAATTACAACAGAGAAACTCAATAAACATGACTAGGTAAGGTAAAATTACATATTCCAAGTAATAATAATACCTCAATGACTAAACCTAAAGACAATGGAATGATTGACATGGTGGGCAAATAATTCAAAAGCCAACGTGTAAAAATAATAAGCTACTTCAATGAGGAAACAACCAAATACGAAGATGAAGTAAGGAAATAAATTCAGGATACAGACGAGAAAGTGAAACAATGAAAAAAAGAGAAAATGGAGATGGATAAGAAAGAAAATAAAGATTTGGGGAGAAAATAAAGAAATTAAAAACTCAGTAAAATTTTGATAATGGAAACCATAACCAGTAGATGACATGAAGCAGAATATCGGAAATGTAGGATAAGGAAACATGACACTCGGGCACTGGTGGACTAGAAACAGACAATGTAAAACACTAGATACAAAACTAATCATTAAAATCAGAACAATACAGTTGCCAAGTACTGCAAAGAAATGGCCATGGAAGTCCATTGAGAACCCCAGACAGATCAAAGAATGATGTCTCCACAACACACTGGAGTCAATGTCCAAGTTCAAAATAAAGAAACAATATTAAAAGCAGCAAAAGAAAAATACCAACGTGTTACTAAGGCTAATCTATCCAAAAAATATTGCAGCTCGAGACAACCTCTGTGATGTGATAAACATGTGGTGATGTACCACAAGCAGCGGAAGGAAGGTGAATGGCAACAGAAGGAACCGCTTTCAGTACATTTACCTTAAGTCAGGAAGAAATAAAATAGCCAAGACCAGCACAATCAAAAGTAATTCATACCTACGAGACCACCACTGTAGAAGACACTTAGAGGAATCCTATACATGTAGAGGGAACAGAGGGTCTTTTTTTTTTTTTTTTTTTTTTTGGTTTTTCGAGACAGGGTTTCTCTGTAGCTTTGGTGCCTGTCCCGGAACTAGCTCTTGTAGACCAGATTGGCCTCGAACTCCCAGAGATCCACCTGCCTCTGCCTCCCGAGTGCTGGGATTAAAGGCGTGTGCCACCACTGCCCGGCTAGAGGGTCTTAATAATAAAAACAGAGAAAAGAATAAATTTCACGAGAAGAACAAATAGACAACGGAAAATTAGGAACAGCTCAGTGGATGACTCGGCAGTTAAGAGCACAGGCTTCTCTTAATTCTCAGCATCCTCATGGAAGCTCACAACTGTCTTTAATTCCAGCTCCAGGGGATCTGGCACCCTTACACAGATGTACTGCAGACAAAACACCAACTCACATAAAATAAAAATAAATAAGTCTAAAAGAATGACTCAAGTCATTTCCAACTCAGTATACCAACTAATGTCTAACATAAAAAGAAGAGAAAAACAGTGAAATCAACAGGAAAACAATCAACATAAGTGTAAGAGTCAGGCTGGGCAGTAGTGGTGCACACCTGCCTTTAATTCCAACACTCAGGAGGCAGAGGCAGGCGGATCTCTGTGAGTTCGCAGCCAGCCTGGTCTACAAGAGCTAGTTCCAGGACAGGCTCCAAAGCTACAGAAGAAACCCTGTCTCGAACATCTTCACCTCAAAAAAGCATAAGAGTCAACAAATCCTTTTCAATAACAACCCTAAATGCAAATGGTTTTAATTTGCTGATAATGTCACTCAAACTGGCTGAATAGATTAAAAAGAAAGAGCCAATTATTTGTTGTCTCCAACAAAACATTCCTGCATTAGTTATTAAATTTTATTGGTGTGATAAAAAAAATCATGGCCAATGCAATAAATAGAAGAGCTTGTTGAGCTTATGGTCCCAGAGGGTTAGAGTCCATGACGGCAAAAGCAGGAAACTGGGAGCACACATCTTGAACTATAAGCCAAAGCAGAGAATGTGAGCTGGGAATGGCACAAATCTTTCAACTCTCAATGACATACTTCCTCCAACAAGACCACGTCTCCTAAACCTACCCAAGCAACACCATCAACTGGGGACCAAATATTCAAAGGCTGAGCCTATAGGGATGCCTCATTCAAACCACCTTATTGGCAAAAAAGTACATACAGACTGAAGGAGGAGCATTAAAATCAACATATCAGGCAAATGGAGAGCAAAAATGGCAATAGCCTTCTCTAACAAAGTAGACTTCATGCCATAATGAGAAAATATAAAGCAAGTGAACTCACATTAATAAAAGAAAGTGGTCAGTCATGAAAATAGGATTATTGTAGATGTGCTGAATATTGGAGTACAAAATTGAATTTTAGAAACATTACTGGACATACAGAAATAGACTCAACTATAAGAACAGAGAATGATTTGAACATCCCATTTTCATCAATACTAGATCATCCAAACAAAACAGCAAGAAACAAACCTTGGCATTAACCTACACCATAGATCAAAGGGGCTTAATGAATAGCTATGGAATATTCTACCTAAAAGCTTCAGAATATATTCTGAACAGTAAGAGTAGCTACTGCCATTGCTGTTGGCCATATAACAACCCAAGGATAAACCAACTGACATGGAACAACACCTATAAGCTCTTATCTCCCAATGTCTGCTTTTATAAAGACCACCTAATATCTACTTTATTGGCCATCACCCAAACACTTCAGGGATTCAGAAGAAGTCATTCAAGTGCAAAACAGCTCACTCATTGAGCATTGGCCAACTTGATCCAAATATGGCTGCAGATTCTGTTCCTGAGAGTAAAATGATTGACAGGTGACAATAAATGTATCACTTACTTCCATTTTCCATTCTGGAAAACACACATGTTGCATTTCTCATTTCTCAATGGATAACCAAAGGTCTCGTCGCTCACAGCAATGGTGTCCATTATTAAATAAGAACCACATACCTGTTCAGTTGTAGAAGAGAGAGTCATATCCAGACGGAGAGGGTTGCCAAGCTTCTCATTCTGCCATCACTACATGCTATCCTCCATGGAAGCAGGCAAGAGGCCAGTGAGATGGTCTGAAAATCTGCAAGGTCACTTTCCTAAATATTTCAAATAT